GCTGAATGATATTCCACTTTCTGAATGCTCTACAGTTTATTTATCCATTCAACTACTGAAGATAAACTTAGTAGCTAGCCTGTTTTGGTGATTATAAATAAAGCTACTATAACATGTGCCTTTTGTGTGTGTGTGTGTGTGTGTATGTGTGTGTGTGTGGACATAAGTTTTCAACTCCTTTTGTAAATATAAGGGAGCATGATTACAGGATTATATTAGTAAGTTTGGTTTTGTTAGAAACTTTCAATATACTTTCCAAAGTGTGTATTATTTTACATTCCCACCAGCAATGAAAATTGTTGTTTTTCCATATCCTTATCAGCATCTGCCATTGTCCTGATGTATTTTGGCTATTCTAATTTGATATTCTGGATTTTGATATCTCACTGTTGTTTTGTTTTTCTGATCACATATGATATAGAGCATGTTTTCACATGTTTGTTTGGCATCTGTACATTTTCTTTGGTGTTTTTTCTTATTTTGGTGCTTTTGATAACAAAGTTGTTTATTTTCTTATTGTTGAGTTTTAAGAATTCTTAATATATTTTGGATGCCAGTCCTAATCAGGTATATTTTTTGCAAATATTTTATTCTGTTCTGTGGCTTACCTCTTTGTTCTCTTCGTAGTATCTTTCACATAGCAGAAGTTTTGAAATTTAATGAAATTCAGTTTATCAATTCTTTGTTTTATGGGTCACTCCTTTGGTATTATATCTGAAATATCACCCAACTCAATGCCATATAGATTTTCTATAAACACTTTTATATAACTATTAATATTTTTCTTAAAAAATGTTTTTATTAGGACATTGCAGTTATGCATGCTAGTGGGGTTCATTTTTGTATATTCATAAATGTATGTAGCAAAATTTGTTCATTTCAATCCTCAGTACTTCCCTTTCCCTCCCCTTCCACCTCCCTCTCCTTATATTCTTCATTTATTCTATTGGTTTTCCTTCTGTTTTTTTATTGTTTTTTAATTGGTGAATTAGAGTTATACATAGTAGAGTTCCTTATGATATATTCGTATATGCATATAGCATTGTTTAATCAATTGCATTCCACATTTTCTCCCATTTCCCATCTCTCCTCCTTCCCCTTTGATCTCCTTTTTCTAGTCCACTGTTCTTCCTTCTAATTACCCAATCAATAAATGGGCAAATATACTAAAAATACATTTCTTAAAAGAAGAAATACAATTGACCAAGAAATATATGAAAAATGTTCAACTTCCTTAGCAATCAGGGGAATGTGCATCAAAACTACACTGAAATTTTATCTCAGTACAATTAGAATGGGAAATCATCAAGAATGAAAATAACAATAACTGCAAGGATGTGGGATAAAACGTACACTCATGAGTGTTGGTGGTACTGCAAATTATACTTTGGAAGCAGTATGGAGATTCCTCAAAAGACTAGGAATGGAACTGCTATGTGACCCAGCTATCCTACTCTGTCATTTATCTAAAAGAACTTAAATCAGCGTGCTACAGTGATATAAGAATACTAATGTTCATATTGTGCAATTCACAATAGCCAAGTTATGGAGCCAGTCTAAGTGCTTGTCAACAGATGAATGGATAAAGAAAATGTGGTGTATAGACACAGTGGAGCTTTACTCAACCATAAAAAAGAATGAAATTATGTCATTTGCTGCTGAATGGATGGAACTAGAGAACAATATGCTGACTGAAATAAGCCAGACTTAGAAAATCAAGGGTCAGTTTTTTTTTCTCATATGCAGAATATAGAAACAGGAACTATTAGTAATTTTCTTGTGAAATTCCACATGTACATTTGTTTTTAGTTTTGCTTAGTGTGTATATAAATGCATATATATAATATATATACATATATATATATGTCTTCATACAAACAATTTTAAAATTTTTCATGAATATATTTTTTATTACTTATGAATTTTGTAGCCAGGCAAATTAACAACTAGGTGGGTAAAAGAAATGCATTAATATATTGTTTTATGGCACAATATACTATCATGTAATGATCTCCAGGTTTATTCTTGTAATTAAGGAAAAAGCAAGGTTCACAATCATGTGTATAGTATGCTACTTTTTGTGATACGATAAGGTGTATGCATACATATGTATGTGTGTATGTGAGCATGTGTACATGTGTGTAGATGTATCCATAAATAGGTACTTATGCATAAACTCATACATATTTGCTTATTTTCCAAAAGGACATAAAGGAAAAGAAAAGCAATGAAAAGGATAAACCACAAATTAATTAAAATGGTTACCTGTAGGGAGAAGGAGTAAGTATGATAGACTTAGGATTGGAAGTAAGATTGTTTACCCAAATATGATCCTGTTTTATAATTTTTATTTTGAAAACATGTAACTACTTCCCATAATGATAAATAGGATTAAAACTAAATACAGGAAATCCTAAAAATAAAAAGAAAGCTAAACAAATAAATTTAACTGTATAGCAAGTTGTTGACTTAGTTCCAAACATTCTAAAGCTTAGGGATATACCATGTCTCACCTTTTCATTACTGAGACAAAATACCTGAGAAAAACAAATTAAAGAAAGAAAGACTTATTTTGGTTCATGGTTTCAGAAGTTTCAGGTTATTACTGGCTGGCTTCTAGGCAAAAACATTTAGTGGAGTAAAACTGTTCATCTCATGGCAGCTGGGAAGGTAGGAAGTTGGGAGGGAGGGAAGGAAGGAGAGAGAAAAGGGGTGGAGGGAGACAGACAGATGTAGGGAAGAAGGGGCCAGAACAAAATATGTTCTTCTAGGAAATGCCCCCAGTGACCCACTTCCTCAACTAGATCCTACCTCTTACAGTTTCCACTACCTCCCAGTAATGCCATCAGATTATGAATACCTCAATGGATTAATCAACTGATGAGGTCAGATCCCTCATGATAGAATTATTTCTTAGGAGTTCCACTTCTGAACTTTGCTGCACTAGGGATCAATCCTTCAATACATGAAACTTTAGTGGACTTTTCAGATAGAAGCCATAACATTATTATATAACCCTTGAATCACACGTTAAGGGGGAAAAAGAGAACAAAGTTACAGTATTTGGTATTTTAGTAATATTTGTATTTTTATTTTAAAGCTATGTCAGATTTCATAGTAAAGTAAATAAGTGGTCATGTTAAAATCTCCATGAAGCAAAATTTTTAGCATAAAGCAAATATGTGCACATATTATGTCACAGTCTGTTAAATTTATATATACATGTAATTAAACTGAAAAAAATCAGTAGAATGTGATATATATTTTTTCTTTTCTAAAAATATTTGCATCTCCTAGTTCAGTCCAGTGAAAAGAGGTAGAAATATGCAAAGCATCCTTGTGGTCACCATTCATAGGTCCAGTCTTTAAATACAGTTTTCCACTAAGATATGCCAGTCTTTTTGAAGAAATATATGACTCTAGTTCTGGGGTAAAATATATAAAACAGAAGGCTGGGATATCATTTCATAACAGAAAGCAGCAGTGTTAAGAAAGATATTGTGGTCATTTCTTAGGGACCAGTTTGAAGAGGCTATCATTGACCAGAGATGGGAGAATTTTAACAAGAAAAACAGACTTGTTAGGGATGAAAACATAAAATATGGTCAAAAGCTGCAAATCATAAGGGCAAAAACAAAACAATATAAACAAAATACTGCATTAGTCACCTTTGAAGGGCTGGAAGATTTCATCATTGTTATAAAATAAAAATAGTAGGATATTGCTTTGTCTTATTCCTGCAAGAGCCTTATTTCAAAATAAGTAACTAATGAGAGAAATTTCTTGTTTGAAAAAGTCTGTAGTAAATGAAAAAAGAATAGCTGAATTGGACTACCACAAGTTTAAAATTTTTATTAATTGTAATACCTTGGGGATTAATGTCTTCAGGTAAAACATGATAGGGAGCCTTATTATACACCAATCCAGCTAACAAAACACAACCCCATCAATCAAACTTAAGGACAGAAAGACATCCAGTTATATGCCAACTGATATGATACAATAGGAAGTGTACTTTTTTTAAAAATGGAACTGTTCAACACTATAGACTTTAACTGCCAGTTTATATGATATATAGGAAATGCAAGGAACATACGAAATGGCACTTTAGGACTGCTATTAGCTAAATCTGGAATGCCATAAACTTAGGTAGATGATACATTTTCTATAAGTGGTAATAGGCAGGAAATAAAAAGAATGAAAAATTGTTAGATCCAAAAATAGAAACAAAATATCAACCAAATGCAATATGTATACCTAGTTTGGATTCTGAATTGAAGAAATCAACACTGCAGAGTCATTGAAATAATTAGGGAAATTTGAAAAATGACTAAATTTTCGATAATATTAAGTGTTAATTTTTAATATGTGATGTTATGGACTAACAAGTTTGAATATTTACCAGTGAAATCATGTATTATTTGGCATTGCTTTTAAATAATCCTCTGAGGGTTTAAAAGGAGAAGACTGTTGATGGTGGTGGGTATTTACCTTAGAATATGAGTATATTGGATTTACTGAAGTATTTTTCAAATGTTTAAGTGCTTAAAATTTCTGTGATTACTTGTTTTTAATTAAAAACTAAGTTACTTTTATTTTCAAAACTAAAATGGAAGGCATTTCATGAATAAATCATCAACATAGGAACTTTCAGAATTTTAAACCTGAAAGCCTGTGAAAGTGTGTATTCCATATATACCTGCAAGAAAATTTATTTAGCATTGATGCTCTATTTGATCTTGACCCAACACAGGCTTATCTTGAAGTTAGCATTCACAGGTTGATCTATACTCTAGAGAAACTATTGAGGTAAATCTAAAGCTATATATTCTCTCTTGTTTTTTGGTGTTCCCCCTACCCGCTACCTGAGTACTAGGGATCAAACCCAGGGCTTTGAGCATGCTGTACAAGTGCTCTACCACTGAGCTACATCCCTGGCCCTGCTGTGTGTTCTTTCTATCATGTCTGCTTCTCACCACATCCCAATATTTGTTTTGCAGGTACAGCAGGTACAGACTGTGCAGCAGGTACAACATGTCTATCCAGCTCAGGTGCAGTATGTGGAAGGAAGTGACACTGTCTATACCAATGGGGCAATGTAAGTTTGTATGTGGGCGTCTTTGTAATTTCCTCACTCAGAGAGAAATAGTTTACTTTCTAACACATCCCACTCTTTCCAAATTGTTTCCTTGTTTTCACAGTTATTTTTTTTTACTAGAACAAAGTTATTGAACTTAAACTGATGTTTAGAGCTTTCATCTGTCTATTAAGTATCTGTGTTAATTTTCTTCTCACTTAACCCTAGTAGAATATTTAATTATTGAATTTTTAGAAATTATTGAATTTTTTATGCCCTTTAATGGTTTTCCCTAGGTTGAGAAATACTTATACCTCTTGTTAATAATTTATATATTTTAATAATACTTTATGAAATCTATGATTTTTGTTTTATATATAAGTTGAGTTTCTGTGGGTATGTATTTACCTGTAAATTAGTATGAAACTATTAGAAGTTTTGTGAATCTTTGTACATTTACTAAGTTAGATATTCTATATAAAGGTGCCTGTTACTGAGTAAATTTTGTTTTCCTGTCTGTGTCTGCCCACTAACTTATCTCCTTTGCATTTACAATAATGCAAATTTGCAAATTCATTAGATTTTCCACTACTTTGGATTAAGAGTCAGAATGTTTCTATAAATAAAGGGGCTAAAAGTTATTAAAAGTCATCATGATGGTCTTCAACTTGAGTTTTGATTACAACTTTTGGCTTTCTGGATTTACCTGAAAATGAATTTAATCTTTCACTGACTTTTCTGCTCCCTTCCCTTCAGACTTGGTATATGCCAGGGTGATAACTCTGCTTTCTTTATTCTTACTGATCTACTCTTTCCTTGAGTGATTTCATTGATCTCCATGATGTTAACCTGTAAGCTCTATGCCTGACATGAAGAGGTCAATTGTGGTTGCATATTATTATAACTAAAAACATAGAATCTTCATATAGCTAGTATTAGTTTTATTATTGTGGACAATGTACTTAAATGTTCTAACCTTTCTATTATTCATTTCATGGAAGTGGGAAGATAGTTTTCTCTTATTGAGTTATTTTGAGAATTTGAAGAAATATATTTAATGTGCTTAACACAGAGCCTGGGTACAAAATAAATGGTATATAACAGAAACAAAGCATTTCTTTGACCTCTCTTTTGTTTCTTACTACTTTTGGTAACTGAGTAGTAGTGTTCAGAAAGCCACTACTCCTGTCTTCACCGTCTACCTGTCCCTAATATAGTCAACTTTGTGCATTTTCCCCAATACTCTGCTTTCATTTGTCCTTGTTTTTGGAGATTTTTTTTCTTCTGATGAAATAGTATTCTATTCATTCTTCGTTCTTTCCAGCCCCTCTTACCCCTGAGGTGTGATTTTTAGAGACTCCCACTTCTCCCACTTTTGTGGCATGGACCTTCACTCTCCTCTGCAATAAGCTTATCATTCCATTATAAAGGACAATACTGTATGGTGATTTGACCTCCAGCATTACACTGTGATGATTGTTTTTTTATGTTTCATGTACCAGGAAGAACTCTCTCTGAATTGGAACTTTTTATTTTGTTATTCAATTTACATTTACTTAGGTAGTTGAAGCTTAAGAAAAAGTTGATAAATTTCTGTATCTCTGGTGAAATCAGTAACTCTTGGCATATATTAGACACACTGAATATTCTTACCTATAGGTGATGTAGGTCTAGGGCCTTTTGGAGTATGGGTTTAGAATGTCTATTATAACCCCAAACTACTGTTAATGTTCATACCAAATAAAAGAAATGCCTGCCAATTGTAATTTTATCAGAGGAAATAAATGGCTTTCTGAACACTACTAGAGGCCACTCCTTTGTCAATTGCCATTTTTCCTTGTTTATGACATATAGTAATGATTATAGGGAAATCTGAGAATAGAAGTTTATAGATTTCACTTCTGTATGGTAGAAGGTGGCAAGGGAAAAGGGCACTATCTGTCACAGTCTTTCTTCGTTTTGTACTAGTCCAAAGCAGGGTGGAAAGATTAACTCTACCACTCATGAAAGCATGACTTTGTGCTTTCCCTTTTTATATGCAAAATGGAGATAATTAGCTTTTGAAAAGTGTTTTATGTACCATCTGAGAAATAGTAAGCACTCAATAGACATTAATTACTGCTGTTCAGTTTTGTATTTTAGTTATTTGTTTACATTTTCTGTTCTCCTTGTGATTATAAATTCTGAATATTGTCTTGTGCTTTTTAAACCTACCCTACCACTGACCTTAGAATTCTCCATATGATAGGTAAATGTGAGTTGAATGAATTTATTCATTCACAAAACATTAGAAAAACAGCATCTCTAAACTTGGTACTTTAAAATTATAGGAACCATTTAAGCACAGAAATGATTCAAAGTAAATATCTAGTGCCAGCATGTATTTTCTATGGTCCACTAGTTTGGTTGGTTAGATCATGACTAATGAGGGTCTAGGTCATGAGTTCATTTGTCCCAAAGTCCAATTAGCTTTGATCTGGTCTTTGTGGGCCCACATTGCAAACTCAGCTGCAGCAATTATGTCACAAATCTGTACTCTTACTCAAGAAGGAGAAGATGCATCTTTTTCAATCTTTTAGTACTATGAATTATAAATTTTGAATAGAGGTGCAGTAGAATTACTTTATACTTAATAAGGAAATATCATTGTGCTGGCATTAGTTATATTCAAAATTTTAGTGACTAGAAGACTATGAATATTTTTTTCTCAAAAAACATGACCAAACACAATTTCTTCTTTTTTTTTTTCCATTTCTTTTTTTTTTAAATTTGTATTGTTGGTTGTTCAAAACATTACATAGTTCTTGACATATCATATTTCACACTTTGATTCAAGTGGGTTATGAACTCCCATTTTTACCCCGTATACAGATTGCAGAATCACATCGGTTACACATCCACTGATTTACATATTGCCATAACAATTTCTTCTTTTTTTCAGATTAAACTGTTCCAATTTTCTGTAATTTCGTAGTGCTGCCATTTGACTACAAAATTTTTATCTCTAATGCTCGTTTTAGACTCTTTGTAATCCTTTTTTTATTTGATGCACTTCTATGTATATTAGTAAAGAATAGTGCCATGTTCTTCTATTCTATACCATTGAATTTATAGACAGCTAGTATTTAAACCCTGACTGGGATCACAGAGTCCCATTTCTATGTGATAATAAACACTGTTTGCTAATGATACTCCCATAAGATAGAGACTCTGATCTTTATCATGAACTTTCAAGCATCCAGTATACAACCTGTTCATGCTTAGTCAGTACTGGTTCACTGATGCTCTTGTCACCAGCATTCTCACATTGTGTAGCCATAATGCATGGGGTCTCTCTCAAGAGGTGATGACAGCCCTCATGGATATGTGTCATTGCTTGTGAGAATATGTAGTCATTATAATTTGATGATACTACAGTGTTTACCTGGTTCTCACAGTGAATATTGACAATTGCTTCCAGTGTAACAGGCTTAACAGTATGAGTTCGAGTGAGCATATATTTCAATTGAACAATTCAGACTGCTTCACAGTGCTAGGTGTTAGAGTTGCATAGCTTTTTACTCAAGGAAGAAGGTTACTTAATTCCCTTTTGCTCCTGTTTATTTTATCCTTTGTTTATTTCCGTGCAATAGTTTTTCCCAGGAGATTTTTTCCAAAGTCTAAATTATGATCATCTGCATTTCTACAAATAATTATCATCTATAATCTCTTATTGCGTACAAAGAATGTTATGGTTAAACCTGCCAAGGAATATCACACACATAGAGTCTATTTCAATTAAAATCTCATAGTGTAGTTAAGAAATCAGTTTTAAATAAAATAATTTTTCTTCTTTCCCCCATGCCATTTATTGACTCATACTTCCCCTACTCATTCCTACATTGTGCTAGTCAAAGTGAAAATAATGATATCATGCAGTATCGTGGCCAAATTAAGAAATCTTTATTTCATAAGAATTTTTCTGTATTAGCCACTCTCTGAAGCTTGTCTACTATTTAGAGATGATCAATGTAAATTATAAAACTTATTACAACAGATACTTTACATTTACAATGTAAAGTATCTGTTGTAATAAGGATTGGCCAGCCTTCTCACAGTCTTCCCTTGAGATTATAGATTTGTCATCAATTCTAGTACAAAATTTCCCAAACCATGATCACAGAATTTTAGTCCCATAAAAGAGTCTGTGGTTAGAGAAGCAGTGCCACACTGAGACTACCTTCCTCTTGAGGACCCTCAATTCCTGTTAGACTTTAAAAAGCTCTGAGAAGTCCTATAGAAAAGAAACCCAGTATTCGAAAATATGAACTTTTTATCTGAATAGTATCTATAATATCCCTCATGCCATGGGAGATGGTACACTAATTATTGACATTGGTAGCTTATTCAGAATCTGTAAGTATTGTGAACTGGACTCTAATTTTATAGAGTCATCTTTTGAAAATCATGTAGTTAGCACATTTTCAGAAGATATCCTGCCTCTTCAAGCTCTTTTTACCCTCTTTAAGCAAAATAGTAAGTTTCAGTATTTGCAGAAGAAGTTGCACTATTTTATAATATTTCAAATGCTCTCTGTTTAGAAGAAGTGGTTGTATGGAATTTCTGCAGTTGAGATAGAGAGGATGCTTTCTTCACTTGTGCTTCTACTAATATACATTCTGATAGGTGTAAGAGAAGTGGATTGTGAATCCACTGCCATTTAGAATCCAGTAGGCATATGGCTGGTTACAAAGGAAGCCCTCTTGGAGACAGCACTGTCCTTCAGTAGAGAAGAGCATGTATTTAGGGAAAGACCTATTTTAATGATCACATAAATATTCCCATCACTCCAAAGATGGAAGACATTCAAATATCTTAGAATTGACATAGTTGTGGAAATCATTTATTCTAGTTCTTCCACTCTACAGATGAGTAAGCTGAACCCCAGAGAGGTGAAATATAAGAATTTGTCTTTTCTGACCTTCAAAACATGATCCTTTCCATCGATTGCAAATACTGGTCTTTTGATTCTTAGTTACTTT